AGACAAAAGTTTTGTCAAGGTTAACAAGGATGTCTTAAGAAAAGTTAAGGTGCAAGACCTCTGCAAAAAACCGTATATGATCAGTCTTGCTCAATTTTGGATCAAAAAAGATCGCGATGAGTAAAAATCAATAACAAGTATTAAAATTATTGTCAAAAAAACAAATGCATCGTAGAGAATGCCAGGGGAGCGTTAGGTGAGAAAAGTGACGTTCTTTTTCCTCCTTCGATGCACTTATGAAGCTGTCATGCCTTTGCACTGTTTTTTTCTACTTCTTTTAAACGTTCTTCGCTAGTTTCCTCTTACCCCAGAAACAAATGGAAAAAAATTTTAAAAGATTAAAAAGATATTTTTGCTTTGGGACTGTAGCCGGCTTTTCTCGTCAAAGAGTCATTTGGGTGCATGCCGTTTTCCAGTCATTTTAAAACGGACACTTTTGGAACCGTCAGCGGCCAATTTATGGAGTGATAAATGCCTCTAAACGGGAAGTGTTTAATATTTTGTAGTCTTGCTCCAGTTCGCAGCAGAGTGTATTGATCATGAAGCTGTGCACGTTTTCTAGTAATGAACGCTTGATTGCACAATAAGAAAATAATTGCACTTTTCTGTTACAATGTTCCAGTTTTAGCTGTTACAGGTTAAACAGACATGAATTCGTTACGAATTGGTTCAGCTTTACTATTAATGGACGGTGTCACGTGACCTGGACTCTATAAGCGAGAAACCTCTTTAAGGTGTTTTCGTTATGCTAATTTTTCCAAATTAATGCAGACGATACATATATCCATGACTAGTACATTTTCAGTGTGAGCTAGTATTGTCAATGTTTTACATTCAAAAGATGCGATAAATTCAAACTTAAACGTACTTGTCATGGAGGTATGTATAGTGCGCATTATTTTGGAAAAATTAGCATAACGTCAAAACAGTGAATGTTGTAACGCAGATTTTTGACAGGTTCGTAGGATAGGTTTGTCTCAGAAATTTTAAGATGTTGCAGTGAATTAATCTCAATGAAAGTTTCAGACCTTATTATATGCATTATGAAGATTACGTGAAGAGATTTTAAAAAAATTCGTTAGCGTCGTTTCAGAGATATACAAAAAAGCGCTAAAAGTCCAAATTTTGAATGAAGTTGCACTTATACGCGTGGTAAGAAAACGGGTTAGTTTTTAAGATCGCGAGAACGAAAATACACTAAAATTTTTTAGGATCAAAATATCATATTAAGCAGCATTCTAACGCTACTTAAAAATAATTTGAGTCATTTATAACGTTTTTCTTGAATAATCTATCACGGCTAATGAAAATTTAAGTTTTGTTTGAAATATATTTTCGTTTAAGTCGAATTCAAACAAACAGAATTTTTTACTTTTTACGGCGGAGATTGTTTGCTAAACACCGAACTTTAAGTTACTAGTGTTGGATTTTCAGTAGCTGGTCTACAAAATTCGGCTTTTATCAATTTCAAAGTTTTTTGATTATTGTTGTCATAGTCATACCGATTTTACTTAAAACTACATTTTCACAAATTTCCGAATTCATTGCCAGTTACCGGTGAACACTTTTCTTGCTATTTTTGCTACATGTGTTACTCAAGTTTTCACTTAGCAAGGAAAATTATTGTTACTTTTGCGATTTTTGTTAAATTTGCGAACTTCACGAAGCCCTTCTTGGCCTTTTCTCTTTGTAAAAGTAGAATTTTGAAAAATGTGTCTTTCCTGCTATTTTTTGCCATATTTGTTACTCAATCTTTTCACATAGCAAGAAAAATTCTTCGTACTTTTGCGATTTTTGCGACATTTGCTATTTCTTCTATAGTTTTCTGATAGCAGTTTTCTTTAAAACTTTTTTGCTAAAACTGCAAAAACAATTTGCTAGCAAATTTTTGCTAACAAGATCAATCCTGGACATAAGTGAGAGAGTTGACTGCAGTCTTGCCTCTGACAGGAAATAACTGGAACTGATTGTTCTTCCCGAACGTATAGACTGGAACGCTCCTGTAACCATGAGCGCTTGAAAGACTATTTAAGCAACAACAACAAGCTTTACTTGCATGACCATACAAGTATAAACAGTATTTCAAAAGCTACAAGATTGTAGTAATAATTATATTTCAAAAATAAGAACTAAAATTTAATCACAGGACAATTAAGCTACTTTGTTATTGTTTCATCGCAATATGCAATAACCTACAATACATATGGGTTTACCGGCGTGATAACCCACGTAAATCACTGTTGTGACTTTTTTGCTTATAAAAGGTTGCAAAAAGAAGAAGAATAGAAACGGCGCTACGAGAAAAGCATGCAGTGTCTGTGATAAGTTTAAGAGAGCATTCGAGGGTTTAAGCGACTGAACTCAGGAGAAATACATGAATGGCTAAGGCAGAGTTAGAAAGATTGAGGAGTAACAGAAAACTAACAAAGAAAGGAAAACGAAACATAGCGTTATTGCTGAAGCAACGCACGGCGATCTCTTCTGCTGAACTTATCAACTACATGGAAAAGAAAAAGACGCAGTTACGGAAAGTAAAAGCCCAGTATTTATGGGGGAAAGGACAAGGCGCGGGCGCAAGATCGTTAAACCGCTAATTTACACAAGATGTCATGTTTCCATCGTATGCTTCCTGGGTACAAGTTGATACTCCATGAGGGCACATCATGTCGCAGTCCCCATTGTAACAACTTTGCTGACACTCGACTCCATCACATTTCATTGTTATCCTTCCAAGAAGAGGTACATATCCGAACTGAGCACACTGTTTAGCTTCACGCGGGCACGTCATAGCACACTTTGTATCTTGACAAATCTGGATACATTGTTTTGCATTGCAGGTCATAGATTCACACGTCCCAAAATTGCATATCTGTCGGCAGAGTCCTGGTATTGCACTTAATGAACAGTTCATGCTGCATTGCCCGAACGAACATTGCTGCTCGCATACGTTTCTGTCACATTTCATATCTGTGCTACTTTCCCTTGCCTCTTGTGTACAGTTGGCTCCTCCTAAAGGGCACGTTAGTCGGCACTCCTCCCTGAAACAAGACTGCGTTCAAGCATTTGCTTCACAAGTCAGCCCACACCCTACGTTTTGCCTGCAACTGGATGCTGTCTTATCACATGTAAGACTACTACAGTCCCCCATGTAACACGTCTGATCGCAGACCATCGCAGCTTAAGGACCCACAGTTGCTCAGTGAGCACAACTGTAAGCAGTATTCCCAAGCGCGACATTCAAAAGCATCACACCTGCTTAGAAGAGAAATCTGACGACATGTCTCATATTGGGCATGGGTCTTCAGTCCACATTGCATTGTGCAAGGAGTTTCTGCACATGATACCTGGTTACACGAGTTATTGTTTGGCTTTGTATCACAGTCAATTTTGTTGCTTGCAGGATCCACTTGAGGCCACCAAGAGCAATATCATTCTTCCAAGTCAGAGCATGCATGTAAGAACCTATAGCGGAGTAAAACGGTTATAAAGGCATCGATTGAGTTACAACGAAGTCGTGCACAACGAAGTCGAGCACAGCTAATGTGTATTACAATAAATGAGTAAATGTTATGTGAAAACACCACAGCATCGGAGGGAGAGTGATGAAGGCAGGCATTACAGACAAAAGTTTTGTCAAGGTTAACAAGGATGTCTTAAGAAAAGTTAAGGTGCAAGACCTCTGCAAAAAACCGTATATGATCAGTCTTGCTCAATTTTGGATCAAAAAAGATCGCGATGAGTAAAAATCAATAACAAGTATTAAAATTATTGTCAAAAAAACAAATGCATCGTAGAGAATGCCAGGGGAGCGTTAGGTGAGAAAAGTGACGTTCTTTTTCCTCCTTCGATGCACTTATGAAGCTGTCATGCCTTTGCACTGTTTTTTTCTACTTCTTTTAAACGTTCTTCGCTAGTTTCCTCTTACCCCAGAAACAAATGGAAAAAAATTTTAAAAGATTAAAAAGATATTTTTGCTTTGGGACTGTAGCCGGCTTTTCTCGTCAAAGAGTCATTTGGGTGCATGCCGTTTTCCAGTCATTTTAAAACGGACACTTTTGGAACCGCCGGCGGCCAATTTATGGAGTGATAAATGCCTCTAAACGGGAAGTGTTTAATATTTTGTAGTCTTGCTCCAGTTCGCAGCAGAGTGTATTGATCATGAAGCCGTGCACGTTTTCTAGTAATGAACGCTTGATTGCACAATAAGAAAATAATTGCACTTTTCTGTTACAATGTTCCAGTTTTAGCTGTTACAGGTTAAACAGACATGAATTCGTNGTTATTGCTGAAGCAACGCACGGCGATCTCTTCTGCTGAACTTATCAACTACATGGAAAAGAAAAAGACGCAGTTACGGAAAGTAAAAGCCCAGTATTTATGGGGGAAAGGACAAGGCGCGGGCGCAAGATCGTTAAACCGCTAATTTACACAAGACACAAGACAGGTCTACGCTGCATTCGAAATGATGTGAGAGGGCGAAGAGGGGCGTCCTAAGTATCTGGGCAACTACAAACAACAGTTCCCATGGAAGTGATTTATATTCATTTGCTGTTTAAGGTCTTACTCATACTGTCGTAGGAAAAAAAAATAAAAAATTATCCTGCTTAAAAACGAATTCAAGGGCGACTCTACCTGTAAATCAGACAAATCCTTTCCTCAATCGGTAAATAAATTACACAGCAGCTGTAACTAGTGTCAAACTAATTAAGCTAACGCAAAAGTGAAATAACAGGATAGCACCAGTCTCTTCGTTTCGCAAGTTACGGGAGTTGACCTTAATAGCAAATGAATGAACTGTGAGATCATTAATAGATAATTAGCCCTGGTGACTAATAAGCAAGACTGAGGAAAACAAAAAAGAGCCTTCTATTTTACTGCTTTTCCGTTCAGTCGCCAGATTGATCTAGCACCTGTTGCGATTGCAAAATGACAACAAACTTTTTGACCTCACAGGACTCTAAATAAGACTGCTGCAAGAGTAAATGTAAAAAAATAACAGGTCAACTTACATTGAACTGTAAGTTTCGCAGACGCGTTGACGCGTCCCAACAAGTTTTCAGCGCTGCAGCTGTAAACACCATCGTCTCCCCACGTCTAACGTTTGTGGCAATGAGAGCACCACTGGACCCTTCCACGTGACGTCCCGCGGGAAGCGAAGAATTCATTTTCGACCATGTGACTAGTGGTGTTGGATTACCGTCGGCTGTACATTTTAAGATGGCTGTCTGACTTTCATTGACTGTGGTTTCAACAGGACGCTGCAGCAGAGTTGGAGCCGAGATGGACTGGCCCGGCTCACCTTTTGTGCCTTTCTCACCTGGTGGACCTCGAGGCCCCACGGGACCAGGGTCCCCCGAAAGTCCGAGATCCCTCTTTATACTTAATGGTCCTTGTGGTCCAACTGGTCCATGTTTACCAGGAGGCCCCTCAGGCCCGGGTCTTCCTGGGGGACCTGGTCTTCCTCGGATACCAGGCCTTCCTCGTCGTCCCGTGCTACCTTTTGGTCCTGAGCGGCAAAGCGTTTCATCTTTAGCACAGATTTGGTTCTGTAACAGTCGCAGCTCTTCTTTAATCATCATTTTTACATTGGAGGTTGTTTGTGCGGTTTCTGTTGTGATTTAACAGGCGATGCATGCTTTCGTCTTGAGTTGATGACTTCGGGGCCTTGAAAAATAGCCAAAAAAAAGCAAAATAAAGTTAACAAATGAAAACGTAAAAATATGGAATTGTCCACTAAAGATTGCTTTCTCTCCGTGAAATAATTTTGGTTGTATTTTATAGTTACTTAAATTATTCGCGTTCCATGACACATTAGACACATTGGTTCAAAAAAAAAATTGGGGCATAACTGCTCCTTTTGGCTCAAACATAACCTGATCATGGATATCCTTTACAAACTTACCCGTTGTCTGCTCTCTTTGACCCGCTAAATGGCTGCCTTTCGTAATTTGCCAAACTTTGTTATTCTGCTGAATTTTTTGAAGAATGAGTTTCTCCATCTGGCCACAGTATGTTACTGAAGATGATATCAGTCGATAATGTTCTTGTATTCTGAGTTCCACGTGAATCAGTGCGATACAACATACAACAGACAACAGCAAAGCTGACTTGCAACTCAAGCTGTCCACTGTTTGTCTTCTAATCGCTCCGTTCTCTTCTTTCCTTGCCGATTGCTGCATTTTTTTGTCGTGACAGCTACTAACTTTAAACATTAACTGAATCAAATAGAGTATTTGATTTACTTCTAAACCGAAGCCATTCAGCTGAATCGGTAATTCTTCTCGGGTTCTAATGAAGAACTTGTCTGTACATGCTCTGGGCCTCAAGCATAAACAGGAAGTAAGTATCAAATGTTCTGAGGTTAAACGTGTTTCAAATTGCAAAAAACTAGAATATTTGGTCCATCATATCGCCTGTTAGGAGAAATAGTTGATCATGGTTGACCGAGCTTATAACTCCTAATAACAGTGATAGAAAGTGTGGGCCCGGAAAGGGGAGTCCCATATAAAAGTGACGGGGATGCTCGTCGTCTCGCTTTGGGGTGTTGAACTGTAGATTTGGTGTCTGGGATGGAAAGTCACTATATTTGCCCATTCGGCGATCGCTTAGGACTGTGCATAAAGAAATTTACAAAAAA